TATGATTGTTTACAGATGTGGAGATTTTCCTAACCAGGTGTGAGTGTGCCCCTCCTTCACCCCACTGCCCTACCTGGGGGACAGGACTGGCAAATTTGCAGAAGCCAGGGAGATCAAAAGCAATCCTGTTTCCTTCATTTTGAAAAAATCACATATTAGAAGTTCTCTGGTGGGCTGAGATGACCGAGTCTGGGGTCAGCTGGGAGGAAGTACTCCAACTACATCCTTCCACCTCCCTAAAAGGTCCCATAGAGAGGCCAGGAGAAGCAGCATATGCAGTCAGAAAACAAAAGAACTTAGTCTTCCCCAAGGGTGGACTCACCCTAGTGGTTGACATGGAAGACAGAGATGAAGCATGGGGTCTGCTCAGGCAGGACCCTGAGGTTTTGTTCCTTCCCATCTTTTCTAGCACCAAGCTCCTTCAGACTGGGAGAGCTGGAGAGAATTCTTGGGCAAACACAGTGAGAAGTCCTGAAAGATACAAGACTGCCTGTGAACTTGCCTGTGGGAGTGGTGTATGGATTACTTAGAACACTACAAATAGTCATATTTGTCTAAAGCACATTTTAGTGTAGCAGGAGTCAAAGTCATTTCAGAGTCAAAGAAATGTTATTAGTCTCTTCCTCATCTGCCAGTCATATACCCAGACACACCCAACTCAAAGACGTATGTTCAATGCTTAGCTGCCTTTCTCCCTCCTCTTCCATCCCTCCATGCTTTGCCTTCCTCCCAGGTGGACAGGCAGCAGAAGTACTTACTGTGACCAGTGAAAGAGAGGAAGGTGAGTCTGAAAGAAACTGTTGCTTTCTCTAGTAACTTGGCTTCTCCTTCAAAGAATCTTCTAAATTTCCCCCACTCCATTCCTCCCACTCAATGAAGAACAGTAAAGTTCAAATTCTGCACAGAGAATCTTGGTGCATTAAAAAAATCTGGCCTCCTTTTTCTTTAAGCAATCCAAGAAAAGGATTATGTATTTGCTTGAGTTGGTTGGGTTTTGTATCAGGGCTCTGAGCCAGGAGAAATGGTGTGAGTGAAATCACACATATTTACATTTGGTTTGTATAAGCCAGTTTCATCTGGAAAAGTCAGTACTGCTACACTAGAATTTTTTTCCAACTCCCAAGGGGTGAAATATTTGTAGCTCATTACCCAGGGATGTGAATTGTGCCTTCAATTTCATCATTTTATTGTTTCATTTGAGCGTCTTTGTTACAATGTAAATATATGTATCTATTTTGACATAGAAGATAATCCATCCAACATTCCATCCCAGAAAATAGCAAAACTACATAATTTTACTCTTGACAACATCTCTATGGCACTAACTAGAAAGTTTTTATGTTTACGCAGGGAAGAATATCGATTAAAGGTAAAATGTTCTTGAAAATTTACACACTTTTTTTTGAAGCCAAATAGCACAAGGCGTACCAGAGTTCGTCCTGCTGCTAAAATTATGATTTTGTTTTAAGATCAGGCAAAGTATCCAGAAATAAATTTCAATACTCTTCTTGATGTTTTGCTGAAGCAAGGCTTAGTGGCATAATTGCAGGAAGACAGCCCAAAGGCACGTCCTTCTGTAACAACCCTGCCTGCTTTCCAGCAATGGGGCTTTCCTGAGCAGCAGAGTGATAGAAAAGGCCTCTTGTCACTGCCCAAACCTCTTCCCATGCCAGACTCCTACAAGCAGAACCCTAAGGCACCATACATGGCCTGAATGTATCAAAAGCCTTTTAATGCCCTAATGCCCACATTGCTCCTCCCACTGCCCACCCAGGACCTTCCACTGTCCCTGTTGTAACATCTGTGTGAAGGTGAGTACTCTTCCTCCCTGTCCAATCACCAACTCATTCCTGGGCACCTGATCAAGACCAGGAACCTTATAGCATAAGTGGGCTGGAGGTGGGTACAAGACTATCCTCCCAGATTCTTAAGAGTGGCTCCCAGCCACTCTTGGACACTTACATCTGTTATGGTTTCTATATCAGTATGTGTTCTGAGAGGCTGGCCTTGCTTGAACAGATGATGACATGCAAAGGATATCCCATCTGTGCTGAGCCTGGTGGAGTCTGGGGGATTAAAGGCAGTGACTGTCCCATCCCCTGGCTTATTGGTACTAAATACCTGATCTGTAGGCTGGCTGTTCTTAACTTCTAGAGGTCTTTTCCAGTCTTGATCTGGGTGTCCCAGTTGGAGGGTTTGCTGGGTTCTGAATGCTCTCTCATGTACACACCCTGCAGGGTTCTCCAAGGGAAGAAGCATGGATGGGAAGGGTGTTCTTTACATCCTTAACCAACATCTGAGTAAACAGAGGCCCAGAGTTATTGCATATCCTGCTCCAGGTAACACCAGGTAGGTCTAGTCTCTAAAAACCTCACTCATGACCAGTGACCCATTGAGCCATGGAATCCTAACTGTGCTCTAACAATGGAAATTCCAGGTTCTCCCTGAGATGGGAGCCTGTGTGTAGGGCCAATAGAAGGCGGCCTAGAAGACAGCTTTTGGGGAGGCCTTATTATTTGGGGATGATAAAGTCTAGGCTAGATATAATCTTGAAGCCTGCCTCCTCTCCCCATAGGAGTCTCAGCACCACTGTAGGTGGGTGAACAACTGCGTGCAACACTATAATATCAAGCTGTTCTTGCTGTTGCTTGGTCCCCTTTGCCTGTACCTGGATGGCCAGCTGGTGACACGTGTCATCTTCCTTTTGTGTACCAGAGAGATGCTGTTCTCCTTGGACAAGGTCATGGCAGATCCATGCAGTCCCCAGGGCCCACACTGGAAACATCAGTGTTGTGTGGGTGGAGGGGTGGAGAGCCAAGAGGTGGGGTAATGGAGGGCAGGTCTAGGGCAAAGCCCCTTGGGAGAACCTGTCAAAGACATGTTCAAGTTTAGTGGGGTCAGGGAGCTAGGTAGGGTAGGCTACATACACTGTGGAGCAGAGATTCTAGCTGGGCCAGAGAGAGGGGTAATGAAGGTAAAACAGGGAGAGCAGGACGACAGCGCAGCTGGTGGAAGGAGGTTACCGTTGGGAGTACTGGACTAACTGTCCAGTCCAAGAAGGAAGAGTTGGTGGGCGGAGCTATCTGGGGGAGACGTCATGGAGGGAGGAGTCGAGCCCAGGGGCGGGGCCAGTGAGCAACTGTCCCCAGGGTTGGCTTCTTAGCACGCGCACAGCTTTCTAGTGGCTATATCTTCCACAGCTGCCTTACTGTCATTCATCTTGAGGCTGTTGATCCAGGCTCTAGAGGTGAGCACTGCCAGGTGCCCCAGGGATAGGTAAGTGGGACTTGGGGCGTGTGTCAGGATACTTGGCTGCACAGAGTCAACTTGTACCTCTTCCTCCCGCCACTCTCTGTGCATTCTCCAATGCCCTTGGCCCTGATGGTGCCTCATTAGTCCTTTCACACCCACCTCTTCAGATGCAGCTCAGAAATCTCCTTCTCCTGGAGCTCGCTTGTCCTGCTCACTCTTGGGTGCATTGCTTCCAGAACCTACTGTGCGCTAGGTGTGCTACGCTGTGGGTTATTTGAGGCATGGGAAAAGAGATAAGTAAGTACATGGTGCTTTCTTCAGGACACAACCCCTTTGACCAGAGCTATGTCAGTAATTGCTATGTTACCCTCTGCAAACCACTGGGATCCAAGTGAGTTGGTAAACCAGAGGCTCAAGTGGTGGGCCCTGGGGCTTGTTGGGTGGGGTGAAGCTGGTCATTTTCCATGTTCCCTTGCCCCTGCTTCCAGGCCCTGTCACTCAATTGTTCCTTTTTATGAGAGTTTTTTCCAGGGCCCTCCAGGACCCTCTGGGAATTTCCTTTTTCTTCCCTTTCTCTGTTCTTGCCCCAAGAAATAAGGTAAAGGAAACTACACCCAGGATGAGGCTCCTGGCTAGAAGCCCTGGGCACTGTGTCTTTCAGGCTGAGGGGTGAGGGTGGTCAGGGAGACCAGGCCAAGGTGGGTATTGACCCCTTGCTTTTGACCTGTCACTTCTCAGGTCCATGTCAGAAGCTCTGTGGCTCCAGAGGTAGGAGGGGACTGAATGGAAGCCAAAGGATGTGATCAGTCATGCACATACTCCCCAGCACACCATCATACAGACCTCCCTGGGCCCAACTTTCACAGAATGGATTTTGACTTCCATGGGCAGGGCTCCCCAGGGAGTGGGGAGGCTGCAATTACTAGGAGACAAGGAGAGGCAGGTGTGGATTGGGAGAGGGCTGAACATGTGTTATACAGTGGCCTGGTGGGGGCCCCCTGGGGCTCAGGCCGCAACTCTACAGAGGAAATATTTCTCAGGATCCATGGGGGATTGTTTCTAGGATACCCAAGGATACCCAAATCTCTAGCTACTCAAGACCTTTTCATAAAATGGTGAAATATTTAAATATAAACCACATAAAACTTCAAGCACAGGTTAAATAAACTCTAGGTAATTTATAATACTTCATACAATATAAATATTATTTAAACAGTTGTTGTACTGTGTTTTCCAGGAATAATAATTAGGAAAAAAAATATACATATGTGTGACCCACAAAATTATTTTTTCAAAGGCATGTGATTCATACTTGATTGAAAGTATGGATACCAAACCTGCAGATATGGTCAGACAAGTTTACTTCAGGACTTCAACAACAGTCTGGACACCCCAGAGCATCCTGAATGAGAATGAAAGTTTTGGGGAAATAAAGGTCTATTTCTTGTCCCAGGGAGCTTGTGGACCAGCAGAGGAGACAGGCTGAGGACTCCATTGGAGAAGAGTCAGTGCTTGGTCTTCATGGGTCAGTCCGTTTGTTCATCTGTCCACACATGTATTCCAAAGGCCAGCTGCCTGTCAGGCCCTGGAAGATGGGTGCAGATGGCTGTGCCCTCAGCATCCCAGCCACAGCTCAGCATCCCCTATCCTATGGGTTGAGGTGGTAGGTTTCATATCAGTTTAGGGCACTTTCATGGCAAGGACAGTCTTACAAGATCATCTTTTCAAATTTTTTATTTTTTCTTGTCTCAGATGAGGAGACCAAGGTTCGCACAAAGAGAAAGGCACATACTCCCAGCTGGAGATTCATTTTGTATGATCTTCAGTAGTCCCTTTAGTCCTCCATGTCACCCGTATCTCCTAACAGGATCTGAGAAGGGTTTTTCAGGACCTTTGTATGGCTCTTCTTAACAAGTCACATAAGCACCCTTGTGGCCTATTCTGTTCTAAAGGCCCAGTCACATTGCCAATAAGGCATGGATTTACCTACCCATATTGAAGTGCCTCTCTGGGGCTTGCTAAGTAGAGGAGGAAATTGTCTTCACCACTGAGGCCAGAAAGCTAGCCACCTTCCAGGAAGCTCAAGTCTTCCTCAAGGCTGCCAGGTGGTATGCGGTTGGCAGTGT